CAAAAATGACCTTTGGTGCAGCCTTTGGTGGCGGCGGATGAATTGCTCCAATTCTCCGGCTATGCAAAGCAATAGGCTCAGTGTGAGTCGGTGCCTCGTATACGCGCCGAGGCACGTAAGCTGCCCTGCCAGTTCTGATGGATTCCGCGTCTTGCGGAGGTTCCTCTTCCGAGCTGTAGGCGTCGAGGCGGAAGTGCTCCGCTGGCGCTGGGCGTCGATCTGGAGATCGTGATCGCGAGCTCGTGGATGATCTTCTTGGGGGATCTCTCCACGTCTCGTCCGCGAGCGAATACGGATCAGCCTGACGGAGTTGTCCGGATGTTCGCTTTGCTCGGCGGTGAGATGTCGCCTCACGTGGCTGTGAAGCCTCCCGAACGAGTACCCAGGTGCCGTGCTCGTCAAATCGTGTCACAGGGTATATGCTATTTTGTGGAGCCAAAACGATCGGCCGTGTGGCAAGGGAAGTCCTGGATGGCCTGCCCTCCCGCGCAAGCGCGGGTTCAACACTGTGTGCCCGTTGTTCCACAGGGGTAGCAGCAGTTGGTCCTCTTCTCGGAGATGATGATGGAGACCTCGGCCTTCGGGACGATGGGGACCTCGATCTTTGTGTTGACCGTTCCCTGCTGCTTTCCCGCCGCGTTTCCGCAGCTTTAGCGTACACCCCGCGAAGCGCTGTCTTGGCGGCGCCCCGCAACACTTGTCGTTCCTCTGCTGATGGTCGAATGCGAGGCAAAGGAGTGCGCGAATCTTGTAGCCAGGATGAGGCTGAAGGAGGCGTCGGAGGGCGTAGCCAGTCCGCTGCACTGCCTGCTGCCTCTGCCGCGCCTGAGGCTGCGGCTTGATCCTGAGATTGCACACCTTGCGGCAAGACCACACCTGTGGTTTCAACCGATGCGAGACGCTGCTGATAAGCGTTGTCCGCGGCCTGGATCACTTCGAAGGCCTCTTGGTCAAAATCCCACAGGTGCCAACTATCCAATGACTCACGCCAGGAAAAGAGCGCCTCGACCTGTTGCTTCGAGGCGTCTGCAAACCTGACCCACCGGAATCGTCTGTTCTGTCTTGTACTCGTCGACGACGATCTGCTGCAGAGTATTGAATAAACGGGCACGCGGCCCTTTACCACCGCGTGTGCCGCGGTGAGGGCCGGCTTCCATGTGCGACCAAACGGTCGCAGTCACGGAGAGGTTTGTTTACCCGAAAACTGGGGTCTTGTTAGCGCAATTAATTTAATTTGGGGTCTTGTTAGCGCAATCAATCGCGTTGAGCCCTTGTGTTTGTCTCTTTGCGCTAGGCAAGAACAGCTGCAACGGTTTTAGAAAAGCCTGGGGAAAGCAGCCCACGCGGTCACGGGCCCCCAAACTTTGCTCGCAGAACGGCGGCGCTGGCTAAGAATGTCGCAGCAATCCGCGGCGCGCCTGAAAGCCCGCAGAACCCACTTTGATCTTCCATGGAACTCCCTACAGAGATGCAGGCTTGCTTATGCTCAGCTCAGTGTTGGAGCTAGTGAGCTGTTCTATATTATAATGGCTACGAATGCGACGGCAGGCTGATCAGCAAGTTGGAACTGCTCGGCAAGGGCTTGGCAAGCGCCGGTCTGAACCAGCACATTTTTTCGTGCCTCCTACGAACAGCCAAAGACTTTTGTTAAATCAAGTTTGCCCGAACCACAGCTTGATTTTCCAAGTTTTGTAGCGATGGGTTCAGAAGTTTGGAGAGCGTCAGTCTGGGTTTTCTTGAGCTTCTGACTGAACACTAAGTTTGAGTTAAAACCTTGCTGGAAGCAGCAAGTTGGGAAAACTCAATCATTTTGGGCGCATGTGTGTGGCACGTCCACGTGTCCAGCAAAATGCAAAGGAGTAGCCAAAGATGTCCTCCGCCCGCTGGTCGGCGCAACGACAAGTCTTCGCGCCCCAAAACGGGGATTGCTTGTCACAGGGTTGCGCCCAGGAGCTTGCAAAGTTAGCGCTTGCGACCTTGTGCGGGGAGAAATTCAATATTGAAAAGCGTGCGTGAATGCATGTCAAAAGACATCGCGACTGACGCGGCTGAGAGCGCAGCTGCCTGCCGCTACTCTGCGGGGGTTGGGCAACGACAAAGAGGGCCAAGGCCTGTTCCGTCCACAGGCCCAGCAAGCGCCAGGGCACGACGAGCGCTGCTCAGCGTCAGGGCCGTTGAACAAGCGCACAAAGCTTCTTTGACCGGCGCGCCGTTGACCGCCAGGGCTGCGAAGCATTTGCGCTTCTTACATGGCGCGGAAGGAAGTGACGCTAGGCAACAATTTTACGGCCCTCAGACAGCTTATAGCTGAACCCGAAGCCCGCAATTTATCTGACTAGTTGCGCCTGTCTCTTGCTCGCCTAACTCGGGCAGGGCTTCCCTCACAGTTCCCGGACTGTTTCCTGAAAATTAAATTTCTTGCGCCTATCTCACGCTAGCGCTGAGAACCCGAGTTCGGCCAGGGGTGCCCCTCACAGTTCCGGACCGGTCCGGAAGTGTGAGAGGCTGTTCCTGGACCCTTTCCGGCGTATCTGAGACAACGAACAAACGCCGGAGCCTTTCTCCAACATGCCAGCAAAGGTCCAGGAACAGCCCCTCACACTTCCGGACCGGTCCGGAACTGTGAGGGGCACCCCTGGCCGAACTCAAATTCTCAACGCTGACATGAGATAGGCGCAATTAATTTAATTTACAGAAAGAGTCAGGAAACAGCCCCTCACAGGAACACTGCGAGGGGAAGCCCTGATTTAATTGTGCGCTTCAGCTTCAGTTAAGCTGTCTCAGGGCTGTAGGCTTGATGCCTAGCGTCAAATCCTTCCGCGCCCTGTAAGAAGCGCAGATCTTCACAGCCCCCAATTTGTCAAGCGCAATGCCTCCCAAGCCCCGACTTGTAGCGCAACAATGAAGGGCCAGGGTCTGGTGCGCGCAGCAAGCGCCGAGCGCGCAGCGGGCGCTGCGCAAGCAGCATCAGGACCGGTGAACAAGCGTAAGCGTGGCAGGGGCAAGCCTCTTTGCCGACGGCGCCATTGACCAACCCAATCTCCGCAAAGTCGCAGCTGGCAGCTGCGCTCTTAGCCGGATCAGTTGTGATTTTTCTTTGCGCAAGAACGCAAGCTCTCGAACTGCGCAAGTCCGAGCACAGATCTCGACCGCAGCCCTGTCACACGCAAACCCTATTTCGGGGTATGAAGACCCATCGTTGCGCCAAGCAGCGGACGGAGTCGTTGGGCCAATGTTACAGAACTGCTCAACCTGCCGCAGCGCCCAAATCAAGAGAACTAGAAGCACTTTCGCAATTTACTGCTTCCAACGAGCTGCATCAGCCTAAAACAGTCAGAGCACACAATTTGTTTGACTTCGCAGTCAGAATTCAAAAGAATTTCACGCCGAAGTCTGATTTGCTTTTCGAGGAAAGGCCTGTTGGGCTTCTGAACCCGCCGCTACTTGAGTCTACGGGGGCGTGGGAAGCTCGAGCTACGACCATCTAGCCAGCGGAGTCTCCGGAGTCAGCGCCAAACTTGTGCTGGTTCAGGTCGCGCTCGCCGAGCCCTTGCCGAGTTGGTCGGACACGCGTTTAGTCGCCATGATAATTTTTTAACACATGCTCGCTAACTCTTACTGTACCTGTTCTGAGCAGCGCAACTGCACCGGCTTGGCAAGCCCGCGTCTGCGTAGGCCCCCACGCTCTGCTGCGAATTCCAGTGACCAGAGGGCAAGCGCCGCCGCTCTGCGAGCGAAGTTTAAGGCCTTTCCCCAGGCTTCCACTTTAAAGCCTCAACAACCAATCGGGCTTTTTTTAATCGAGAAGCGCCTTGGTGACAGTTGCTGCCCAGTCCAAACATCTTGGAGGTAAAAGACGGGCCCGACACGATTGCCCCAAATTAAATTAATTGCGTTAACAAGACCCCAGAAAAGCGTTACGGCTGATAACCACTCAAAGGAGAGGGAAACACAGTTTTGTCAACAACGGGGGAACCCGGGACCTTAAAAGGAACGAACCCCTCCGTGACTGCGACCTCTCCCTTAACCTTGTGGGAAGCGCGAGCAACGCGCTCTTTTCAGCACTTGAGCCAAAGCAATGATTGGGTCATGCTCAGGCATTGACTTGAATGTACAACATGCAACTGACTACATGAGAACCTACCTCATGTACCTCTGGGCCATAAATGTCATCGTGATAATTGACTGCAAAACCACTTTGTTTGCGTGGACCATTGGTAATGGTCCGCCATGGGAAAACGAACCCTCCGGAAAGGTTCGAAAAACCTTTTTGAAAGGAATTTTGGCTGGGGATCTTTAAGGTCTCGCCGGCTTAATACTTGTTTTGCAGTGCCCCATGACAAAGGCCTCGCCCTGTCAAAGCCAAGGGGCCAAAGCTGAGCTACTCTCAAAATTGGGCGACTATCAAACAGACTGATGTCCGGAACTGTGCGCGATGATATTGTGTAAAATGGAAGGCGCTGCAGCATCTCGCTTTTGTATCCTACGTCTCGCTGAGCCATCCTTGCATTCTATCAATCTGAAATCACACCGAGTCGGAATCAAAGACCGACAAAAGGTCAGCGATCAATAGAAAAACCTATATACCGCAACAGGGCCGCGCCGATACGGACATTGTTGCCGGGAGAAAATGTGCGAAAATCTACGGAGACCACCCATAACGTAGCTGACTTCCAGCTGCCATTTGTTGCTGAACACAGCTCCCCATGCTCAATTGCGAAGAGTCTCCTGCTCCCCTTTTCGGGGCACTGGGTGGGAGCAGCAAGATGCGAAAAGATACGTCAAAGCCACATCTGTTTCGGATTCGGCTCTGATCAAAACCTCACCAATACCAGAGCGCATGCTAATTCCCGTGCCCATGGCGTCGGCTGCTCGGGTGCCCCATCTTGCATTGCATGGATCACACATGTGCAAAGCACCAGAACTGTACCCTTGCCCATTTGAAAAGACCCTGTCAAATCCGTCCGATTGCAAGCAACACACCTTCCCAATGTCTTTGAGCTCACTCTTCGGCTTCCGACCTCCCCGCAATCTTATGGGCACGATGCCCATGCTCGGAGTTCCGAAGGGCGGAGGCATGCAAACCGCTGGGCCGGCCATACGGCTCTCACCTTGTCCAACAATGCTGGCGCAAGCAAAACAAATGGTGAGGCTACATTTGGGGTCCACCTCTTCAAGGGTCCCTGGAAACCTTGCCGCAACGCGTGGGCCTTTTTGTTGCCCAATCGGCCCTACGGCTCGGGCTCTCAGACTGCGAAGGTCCGGCGAAGAAGGATGCCGGAAGAGCCCACCATGTACCCCACCTGCAACATCAAAGAAAAAAAGATACACACGCACACAAATCATTCATTGCAAAAGGTCTAGGCAACAACATGTGAACATATATGCATGTATCTGCAAGCTGTGCCTACATGCGTGCTGCTATTTGTTCACTCTGTCCAGCTACCACGCATAGTGAATCCCAAACATCGGGGTTGACCAGCCTTCACTCAGAGACGAAGTATTCATGAGACAATTCTGCTGCACTTGTCTTCGTTGCAGTGGCTGGTTTCCTCAAAGCAACGCCACCAGAGCTGATCACAGCTGTCGCGCGTTTGTCTAATGGGCCTGGTGAATGCCAGCTGTCGCCAGCGAGAGCTTTTCTGAATGAGGCGTTCTTGTCCCCTGCTTTCACTACGAATGTGTCACGTCTGGGCTCAAACTCGCAAGAAGCATGCAAGGCGCCTTGCCGTTCTGGAAGAACTTCACCTCAACTGCAAAACATGCATCAGGAAAGTGCAAGAGCAAAACAGGCCATGCATCAGGTACTTGGCTGCATGCGTCTTCCCCTCAAAATTGATCAGTGCGTCAGCTGATTTCCCACTGCACTGGGATCAGCCACAGCCGGGCTCGCCGCAATGACAGAAATCTCGCCGTGAATTGTTGCATGATACAGTTTTCTACCATTGCTAATGCAAGGCTGTGGAAGGATGTGAAAACTATATTGTTCAGCTCAATCTCGGCGAACCAGGTTGAAGTAACAGGACAAATCCTAGTATTGCAAGCAAACGACATGCCAAAGCAGCATCAGCTTGAAGCCAGGATTTAGGTTGACTCCCCCTTGATGTATCCAGCAGCGCAAAATATGTGGTCCTGTGATGCATTGCTTGCTGAACTTGTCTAGGGCATTGCGGCGGCTGCCAAAGGCAAACAACCAAAATGAACAATATCCTGGAGCTACTCATGGTGTTGCGGGCCACATTTCATGCATGTCCCTGGTTCTACCAATCGCCAACAGGCGCCTGCTTGTCGCAAGGGCTCAAGGACAGTTTCAGGGATAAGTTTCGGAGGAGGCACATGCCACCAATCATTGTTAGAGCCCCCTTTTTTTAATATGTATGTTCATGTGTGTACATAAAAACAGACACAGAACATCTGCATCTATATAAGAAAGCTCGATATCAGTAAATATGCGCAGAAACTTCCCACGACAGGGCCGTGCTTTTGCAGGCCCAGTGACGCTGTAAAGGTTGCATGGCAAGTCCTTGGCGGAGGGGTCAAAGGCCCACGTTTTTCCTGGGCCGGCCGTGAGTGTGACTTCTCATAGGCAAACCATGCGCGTGTGTCTTGTTCTTGGGGAGGTTGGTTTGAAGAAGGTTTCCCCAAGGAAATCACCCATTTGTTGGGTCCCACATATTGACACAAACCCATATGGAACAGGTGGGACCGTTCGCAAGCAGAGAGAAATGACCCGGGCCGCCAGCGGGCAGAACCAAATGAGAGGCTTGTGATGAGCCGCGTCAAAACCGGGAGTCCTTCATGGTGTTTTGCTCTTGGACAGCACACTCCTTGAGCCCGTGTCAACCAGCCGAAAAGGGCCAAATAAAGGCATGAGTTTCCACGGTTGCATCCGGTACACAAATATATAGGTATATGTGGGTAAGCGCGTGCCCCCCTGTTTTAAGCTAAGCCTCCCATTGTTTGACCATTCAGAAAGACAAATTTAAAGCAGTCCAAAGAAAGGTTTAACCCAGGCTTGACCTGCCTTATCAACGCCTAGCCGGTGGTCAACAGGCTTGATGTGCTTCTGTATCGCGTATGAAGATCTTGCTAAGATCCTGCTCATGCTCATGTAATATGATGCTGCTCAAGCCTGTTCCTCCTTTGTTCTTGCAGTTTCGCCTAATTCATCAATTAAATGTCACCATAGCTTCCGCATGCTCTACCAGCGAGCTGACTGACACTTTGCTTTACTATCTTGCAGTCTGTACTCTGCAGTCCTCCCCTCTCCACTTGAGCAATAATATGCAATAATACCAACGCAAGGCAACGTGTACTTTGGTTTCAGTGCTGGAGAGTCATCTGATCAATCGCGGAGGTTGATTCTCGATTAGGGGGACTGTTGATTCTCGATCCAGGCGTGCCTCGTTTTGAGCTTTGAAACGTTGGGATATTGGTAGTGAGCCATAACTTCGCACACCCACACATGGGCAATCAAGGGGTTCCGTGAATCTGTAAGAACTCCTAGCGGCTGATTCCCGGCGCAACCCATGGAGGCAATGAAACAAACAACCTCTGGCTGAGAAAGGCCGATGCGCAAAAGCCAAAAGAAGCCTGCAAACCTGCCACAGGTGCTGTCCTAGCATAACAGTAAACTTAAATGCCACAGTTCTTGTGGTTTCCTGTTGCCCCCTTTAATGCACAACAGGAGTATGAACAACATCAGCTACTTGACTGATTTGCCCCGCCAGTTGGAACTGCAGTCTGAGGTCCGCCATCCTTGGAGAAGTAGATCCTTGGCCCAAGCGCGACGAAAAAAAACATAGCTTTCGGCCGATTGTCCCGGATAGATTGAAGTGGACACAATTGACCCATAAGAACTCATAGCAGCCGGAGCAACTATATTCGGTCGAGCTTGCAGCGGGACTTCAAACAAGGCCACGAGGATCGCGAATGTCAATGCAGGCTCTGCGAACGGAAACGGAAGCGGTCGCAAGCCCGACGTTGCTGTGGTCAGGCAAAACTCGCCCGCAACACTCCACAGGTTGAATTCTTTTGACACGTTCCCCATAGCTCTGCCAGCCATGGCACACGCCACTGCCGCCAGTGGCGTATGCCTCTGTGGGGGTACGGAAGCCAATGTCAATGATGCCGATGCCGCCTGAGAATCAATCTCAGGGGCTGAATGTATGAATCCATTTTTTGACTCCCGACATGATCTCTTAACTAATGCTGCACTGAGCATATTAAATTGATCTCATGAGACCTAATGACTGCCCCACTGGCTTGGTAAGCATTAGCTAATATTTGGGCCATACCTGAAGGAACTCAAAGGAGAGCTTCTGATGAACATCGTGAACATCCAAACCAAACACAAAAAGAACATCTTTATCATGGGTGACTTCCTTTTGTGCCCAGGTTTGTCAGCTATGATTTGTGCCGAACAATTCCACTTTGCAAACAGAAAGGGACCCGGGGACCCCCTCTTTGCAAAACCATGAAGCCACACATGCCCTGAAATGGAGCCAGTGGGAGCCACATTGGCTGACAAACCTGCATACTCAGGGTGTTCCGCCCGTGTCACTGTTCTCAATGACGCGAGTGGGACCCACTTCTGTTTCGAGGGGCCCAACAGCAACAGCTGGCAATACAAAAGGGTCAGCCACGGTCAGTGCTGGAAAATTTCATCAGGATCCAGCTGGGTCCGTGCCTGACCGGATCTTGGACAGCTGAAAGAGTTCCTGGAAGGGCACGGCCCGAAACAGTGCTCACCAAGCACGAACAGCGCAGTGCAAAAAAGGGCTGAGATCTCCTCGCAGGATACACGAGCTTTCAGCTTAGTAAAGAATGTGCATCACGCTGCAGCTTTCCCAGTACTCATTTCCATGACCTTGCTGCAAATGTTGCTCAGAACTGTTGCGCATGCATCCACATTGGCCAAGGCGGACCCAAGGTCACCCTTCAAAATAAAATGGCCCAAACCCCCAAGGGCAACGCAAGGTGCAGGAAACGCATGCATCAACTGTGCCGGATTCGGGCCGGGTCTCACAACATGCCCTCAGCTTGATAGTCACACGGATCAAAGCGGGCAACTATTCAAGGCGGTGTGGCGAGTTCTTGAGACACCCGTGAGACTTGGAGCACATCGCCAACATCGCCCCAACCTCAGACCCGCTCCTTTGTGTCGGAGCCGAGCTCAACGAAATTGGGCTTCTCGCAAGTTGTCAGAACGCCACCTGGAGGCAAAGCGGTCCCAAAACCCTCTTGGTCCAAGCCAGGAGCACGTAGGCACTACGTGAGCAGAGCGGCGGCGGCTGCAACAGCAGCCGGAAATTGGTTGCAGCCATGTCTCTCATGGCAATTGGTTTTTTATGTAGGCACATCATGCCATACATTGCTCGGCACACTTCTCCAATTCTCCCTGGACAAGCATTTTGCAGCAGGATGTTAATTCTGGGAAGCTGGGAACCCCCAGAACAGTGCAATAAGCACAACTAGCACCACAGCCGCTACACCAGCAGCTCTGACTGAAGCATTTTGGCTATATCAAGGCGATGCGTTCCTGTAGAAGCTGCCTTGATAACATGTTTATATGCAAAACCACCTATCAGTCAACACGAGCCGACTACTACAAAATGTGATGCTCTGCAAGAATCGAAACACCAGCACATGTTCTGCGCCAGCACCACTGGCACTGACGAGTGCCCGAGCTTCCGGGCAACCAACAAAGCTATGCGCATAGTGGAACCACTGCTGTAACTTGCCATGCACTGCGCTGCAGCGATTGTTGGATTCCCATCGCAACAAGTCTCAACTGTGTGGAGCACATAGCAGTTTTCACTTCATATTTCCACCCTCAAGCCATAAGAACCAGTACAAGACACAACTGTCATACATCCCCGGATCGATCGGATCACCCCGCTCCGAGCCAGGGCGCCGTTCAGGCTCATCCATGCGCCCTGCATCTCAGCGCCGTTGGCGGGCTCCCGGAAGCCCATGCCCTGAGGGATGCGGATGCGGTGATCAAATCAAGAGGACATGCCCAGTGGTCGCGGGCCATGCCGCACCCGTGGGAATCAACGTCTCTCCATCCGTTCATCCAACTTTTCATGCCATTCCGTTCATTGCATTCCAATGTCATCCGATCCCATCCATCTGTCTGGAAGCCAGACTCATATTCATAGAATTCTCATTCATTCAGGATCTGACGGCAGCATGTAGAAGGGCAATCCTCCAAATAGTACATTGGCTGGCTGGCTGGCTGGCTGGCTGTCTGATTGACACAGCTGGGTCGCTAGATGGATTGTTTCATTGAGCCCATCTGTAAGAAGCAAGTCAAAGGAAATCCACATAACACATAATAAGCCAAAACAAGTAGCAAGGAGGGGCTGTACTACCTGTTTCCTCTGAAATACAATCTGGGGGAAGCCCAGATTGCATGAAAGGTGCTCTGGGTGCTCGGGTAATCAAACCCAAGAAGTGGCCCTGCCGTGCACCTGGATACGCCGAGAGGAGATGCGGTTGTGAGGCAGCCAACCTCAGTCTCCAAATCAATCAACAGAGTGGGTACCCCTTTGGGGCTGCTTCAATGAAACAGATTCTGGGGGCAACATCGTGATCAAGTCAGCTGGTTGATCTTTCCTAGTGGGGTGGGGCAGAACAAAACTAGGACAAGCACTAGAGCCCCATCCTCCCAGCAAAGATTCTTGGAACTTTCTGAGAAGGGGGTTCTTGAAGGGATCTGAGAATCCTTGCGCAGGGAGGGATCTTGAAAAAACAAAAACGCGTGCCGACCAAAAGTGCCGACTGAGGGCACGTGGTTCAGCTCCTAGACTTTGGGATAATTAGTGTTTACAAACGGGCCAAAAGGTTCCCCAGGCAGTTCTTTCGGGGATCATTTCCGCATTTTGGCAACATCCAAGCAGCGGTTGTCTCCTGGGGTGAAGGTCAAGTAGAAGTTCCCACGCCTCGGGGGGCGCTCGCGGGCTCAGAGGCGCACGCTGTTGAGCCAAGCCTTCAGCCTGCCGCACACTCCGGGAGAACCAACATGACCTCTAACACATGGGTTCCCGGATGCCACAAACACATCATTGTCCTGTGGTGCAGAGGAGCCGGGTGAACGGGTCCCCTGAGCAATGCCTGCTTTGCATTGCAGGAGTGCGCAGCCTGCAAAGGCTTCTGGTCCTTCCGATAGAAAGTGAGAGCCGAGAGAAAGTGAGAGAAGCCCACTTATCCACGAAACTCTGTGGTATTGGCAGTTTGTTGTGTGGGGAATGGTTTCCCCAGGGACCGTGCAATGGGTCGTCCCAGGAGTACGTTTTGTGACCAGCAATCTGGAGGAGCCCCCTGGTCTGCAATCATACCCATTGCGCACCTGCAAATGGTAGGAAACCTCCCAAAGTCCATCTCTGGCTGGCTTCCTTTTGAAATAACTTGAAAAGGTAGCCTTCAGCATCAACGCCCAAAATGTCCACCACATTGGGCCCAGCCAGTGGACCGCTTTCGCCGTGGCGCTGGGCCACTGCCAAGTATCTGCCATCGGGTGTGCGCTTGATGGACTTCACCTGAGACGTGCGAAGAGGAGCGATGCTGCTGATACTTTGGGTGCGTTGCTTGTTTGTTTGCTTGCTTGCTTGTTCGTTTGTTCGTTTGTTTGTTTGTTTGTTTGTTTGTTTGTTTGTTTGTTTATTTTGTGTGTGTGTGGGGGGGGGTCTGGGAAAAGCAAAAATACCCATACACCTGTTGGGTTTCCTTTGGGTATAACATAACAATGTCTATTTGATGCTTGGTGCCCAGTTCTGGAGTTGGGCAAAAGTAGATGGCCGACGTTTAGCCATACCCTGGTGTCATCTAACCCCCCTTGCACCGGGTTCAGAAAAGCTAGATCCAAAAGCCATCTGTTTTTTTTCAAGGATTTGGATTCTCTACATCAGATGGTGTTGTGGTGATTTGTTGACTGGCCCAAATGTATCCTTTCAGGCAACCTTCGCATGGGAGCCCAAAAAGGAAGGCCCCTGCCAAAAGGGGATGTCTAATCATGAGGGCTGGGCAAAACATGCTTGTTCCAGGAGGGTATTAGAAGGTACTGAGGCCACATGGCGTCGCATTTTCCCTGGCATTGACCGAGACATGGGGCACCCGCCTGAGTCTCAAACTTGAGTCTCCTAATTAAGGATTGCTGACACATTAGTTCAGAAATGTGTAGATTGCTTGTTCGTTGACTCCTTTCTCGCAAGCAAAACTGCCCGGAACCCATCCTTGCCTTACCGAGCAAGCAAAACGCTTTCTTAGCAAGATACGTGTCGTCTTTGACTCATCCTGGGACGTAGTTTTGCTGTCAGTGACCGACCTACATTACATAGAAATGGAGGCCAATATACAAAGCATTCAAAGTTTGGCAACTCACCTTTGAACGGAACCCTCTCAGAAGAAGACATCACCAAAATATGTTGCTACTCGGCTTGATATTGCAGCAACGAGCTCCCGAAATGAAATCTCGACAGGTCACGCTACCCGTGAAGTAGCTTGCACCGGAGACGCCGCTGGCTGACACTCGGTTCAGCGTGGCATCAATGGTCTCCTTGGATGCAACAAGGCCGTCCAGGGTGCAAATGCGCAAGCACGGCAATGGGCTCGCTACACAAAAAGTCCTGTGCACAGCTCCCACAGAAAGCCTCAAAATTCAGCATATCTCAAGTCAAGTGGCGTCGACCTTCGATGCCCAGGACTTTCCATCGTTTTCGGTGGTCTCAGCAGCTCCGAGACCACACGCAGCGATGGGGCAGGCATGCAATTATCATGTTAGCGAGTGACAGGACCAAGAGTCAACACCAGCCCTTGAGGCCCACATCGTGCCCGGCACCACCATGAGCGTTACATGTCCACATCCCCTTTTGCTAATTGGTGGCCAAAGGCTGCTGCCAAGTGGATTCAGCGCTAAGCGCACACAGCTGCAAGTTCAATGGGTCATCCGATTTTTACTTTCATACAGCTAGCAGTCCCATCGCCCATGCAAGCCCTACCCTCGCCACAATGCGTTCAACAGCCTCTGTGCGTGCGTGGTGCACCACATTTGCCCCATCATTAGCTTACATGCTGCAACCTTCCCTAGCCATATTCGCCACCGGTAGCCCCTTCAAAAGCCGGGGGAGCAAATGTAAGCTACATTTGTTCCCCCCACCCCCGTCCCGGCTTCCCCAATATGTCAATCACTTCTCTTTGTGGGGGGGGGGGAGGTAACTTCTACGTGCCCAGGTGTGAAACAACATCTTCTCCCCAAACGGAAATAACCACGGGGGTGGTGCGCTTACACGTGTTTAGGGGGGGGGGGAAGGCAAGTTAAATTTTCAGACAGTGCTTCCGGACTCTAAGCGGGAGGGGATGTTTAGACACTTTGTGTTTCCTCTGGCCGCCCTCTGCGACTGTTGCCTTAGTTGCCTTGCCCCACTATTTTGCCATGCTGTTCTGATAGGGGGGCGGATCGCTAGCAGACCACAACAGCTGAGCTGGCGACATAGATGGCACCACTGGAGGTCGCGAGCTCCGCCTTGCCATCCCCCAACGAGACGATGACCTGAGTGCAAACCGAGAAACAAAAAGCCATAGCGCAGGCTGAAATCTGACTGGGTGCTAAACAAAGAGCGTGGAAACAAACAAATTATAGACACAGCAAAGCAAAAGCAAAACTAACAGGAAACCCTCCAAATTTGACATCTGAGGACAGCGACGAGGACTTCCCTGCCAACGTACCCTGTCTTGGTCAAGCCTTCAAATGTAGTCTACTTTTGTTGGACATCAAGGATTTGCCCCCCTCCCCCAAAGCAAACATGTGATACACATTATTACGAACACACACATATGCCTTTTTTGGCAGTTTACAAGGGGACCCACAAAGTACTTCGCCATCCACATGTCGAAAAACATGGCATGTAGAAAATAATCCAGGGCCGAAAGCGGGGAGATCGCCAATTGATGCCTATAGTTTCAGCAGGTGCATCTGAAAGCCCCCAATCTTCGGCCTTCGGTCAAGTGGCCTTTGGCTCACCGGGCAGCTTACGAGAAAGCGGCACCTTCTTCCAGCTCTTGCCACCTGAGTTTCGCAGGAGGCGGGCCCAGCACCAAGAGTGCAAAAGCAGGGGTTCCACCAATGGGGGAGTCTGTTTTCGAAACCCAAGCCTACGTATTGACCCCCGCATCTCCACAATGCCTTTTGGGCGTGTGGGCCCAACAATACTTTGGGAATCCAAAAAGCAGGGCCCCCCAAGCCCTAGCAAGCACTAGCATGCCCTAGCCTTCCCAAGCACACGTGCCAGAAACTTAGACAGAAACTCCCTCACAGCCCAGCTGCCATCCTTCGAGTGGAGCAGCAAAGGCGGCTTGCCCACGATCCACACCTCGTTGCCGTTCACAGAGACTGTCCTTAGGCACCAGCCTGCTAGGTTCACCAATCAGGTCATGCTCAAGAACTCCCGAAAACGCAATGGACCCCTGGAGCGACTTTTGCGCAGAGGCACTGGAATCGATAGCTGATGTCCTGGCCCTTGCCCAAGTTGGCGAAAGAGCGGGATACCCATCGCTCACCTTGGCCGAAACAACGGCAAACCAACTTTTTACCGTTCACCATGCTTTGGGGATAGTGAAAGCCATATTCGAGTTCGGCAACTCCCAGCCACGTCTGCAGAGGGCCGTTCTGCCAAGGTGCCGCCATCCTTCGTCTCATAAAACAAGGCTCGGGCGCCCACGATGAAGCCTTGCGATGGGGGGGGGGAGGCAACGAGCATCAACTGACCACTTGTGCTTCCAGTATGCAACTGGCTGGTAGAGGTCAACTGGTTCACGTTCACTGGAAGCCCTCAACGAGCTACAGCTTATCCGTGCCATGCCAATCCAGTTTGTGCTGTTGCGAGCTGTCGCCAAACATCTGCACAGATTATTAATAGTTCACAAAATCAAGAATGCCCATGTACGCAACCATGATCAGGTGAGCTCGTTTAGCCCTCAAATCGGCTTGCTATGTTTACGCCCATTGCAAACTCCAAAAGATATCATTTGAGCAAGGAACAGTTGAAATTGCACACGTGGACGTCTCCGCAACTCACAGGCCATCTCGATGGAGCTATGCGACTCCGTGAGCCGCGTAAGTCAACGGACTTACCATTTGGGGTATGTTTCATAATTGCAGCCCCTATCATGGACATCATTGTTCATGTGCGTGCCCGCCTACCATTTCTGAATTCTGAGGGTGTTAAGACTATGTCTTCAGCATTGTTTGGCATAATTCCAAAACCGCCAACGAAGGATCTCCAAGTAAAACCAACATCCTGGCAAGCTCGTTTTGCCCCCAAATGAGCTCGCCATTCGAGGTGCCGTGGTTGGGATCTTGCGGGTCGAAGTCGATGTCGTACAAAGTCTCGCCCGTGTTCAAGTCGTACTGAATCCACTCGGGTGAGATAGCCTAAGCTATAGCTTGAAAGCCGCCGTCCTGTGGATGGACGAAAGCTTGAAGCAGCGGGCAGGTGGCTTCCCCAAATATTCATAGGGCCTTATACATTCCAAGTGGTGCAGGATAATTGTTGGGCATGCACAGTGTGGCCGATAAGCGCTCCAAAGAGGAGCCCACAACATGGTGACCCTAAGAGCGCACCTGATGAAACTGCAATATGGACTAAACGAAGCGACGCCTGCCACACATATTATTGTTGCGGCTGAAGAGTCTGGCAAGACTGAAGGCAGGCTCCAATCACTTGTTACAGTTTGAGGAAGCCCTGCTCCCTGAATTCTGAAGTGTTGGATCGATGGAAGGGCCCCGAGTGAATTGTACATGCATCATACAGGAGAAGTTATTTCGCTCGAAGAGCAAGGCCCGCTCCTTTGCTGCAAAAGCAACCGCGCCAATGTGCGTTCGATGCTGTCTTGGCATCAACTCCTGGCCCTGGGACCTGGAAACATCAATTCAAGTCCCCACAATGCACGCCTTCAAAGACCACATCTCGTCCGCAAAAGACATAGAACCAACATGCAAACCGTGTGCTTCTACAGTTTGCCGAACAGTCTAGACCTGAAGTAAAAGCGAGTGGCGCCCTGACATGTGCCGGCTAAAAGCCTTAATTTGTCCATAGGCCTTCAGCTAAGTTGAAGCCTTCAGATTACAACTTTGAGGCATTGCCATGTACCGCTGAAATGCCATCCCAGTCCCAACGATTCATTCTTGCAAAATAAAGTTTGCTAGTGAGACAAATCCCTCATTCCCACAGGCTACTGTCTGAACATCTTTTAGGGTCTTCGCCCTATTGCCAAGTATGGAATGGTTGTTTCAGGGGTTCTCCTTACAGCTCTCACAATACCTCCTGTCTCCTCCTGCCTCCCTGACAAAGCATTTAAATATATTGGCTGGGTTTGCCCCCCATCTGTCAGTGAAGGTTGGAGTCGGGAAGATCTTCAGGATTTTGGTCGCCCCGACCCCCGGTTGCGGGTACCGCCAGTGCCCCCGGCCAAGGCGCCGCGTTGGCCGAGCTGGCCGCGGCCAAGGCCGCGGCGGCGCCGGCGCCGCGGACCAGCTGCGCGCGGGAGCACACCTGAAGATGCGGGGGACTGGGATCGATGGGGTCCCTCCAGTAGGTTTCTCGTTTTTAGGGTTCTCAAGCTATCAGCCAAGCTTATGAATCGTCCCGGCTGAGAGGGCGTTTCTCAAAATTAGGGGCCAAGTTGGTTTCCATTTAAAACCATGCCAAAACGCGATCCCTAGTTTTTGAGATACTCCAAATACATGCGGGGGTGTTTGATAAGTTTGATTGATAAGCCCTGAACATGAGCTCGATATCTTGATGTCATGTTCCAGACTTGTTCCAATGCTATGAATTGGTGCTTACTTTGTTTTGTGTCTGCAACGTGTTGGTGATGCGGGTCTGAAACGGAACCCGAAAGGAGGAAGTAGGCTATGTCGGGGTTCCTCCATTTCGAGTCATGTTGCAATTGGACAACCCACATCCAGCCACAACCGCAAAATTGCGAACGTATTGCAGTCTTCCAACTGGTGCTGGTTGCAACTTCTAGCGCGTCGGCCATGACAGCGAGCCTTTTTGGGAAGGCCAAATGCATGAACCACACAAACAAATCCTGGTATGAACCCTTAAAATTGCATGATTGTTTGACAATTGTCCATGGCCTGTTTTTGGCTTAGCTGCATTGGGGTCCGTTGTTGTCTAGGTACTGGGAAAAGGTTTAAAGATGGGATCGATTCTTCACTTTGGGGGGACGCTCCATTCATCTCACTGTTTGTCATCCTGGGGTTAGCATTACCTCCTTTGTAGGTATAGCCAAAAGAGTTGACAGGGGGGCAACATGGGGCAACCAATGATCTCCTGTCTGCGTCATTCGTCTCCTCAAAGCAAAGGGCGACGCGACGCATCAGCATCACATCCACTGAGATTTGGAGGCCTCCACCGTCTCCATGACGATGGGCTCTTCGGGGGCCTGCCGGTGTGCTTGCGTCAAGCTGTCGCAGAAGCTTTGTGCAATCGGAAGATTTGAAGCAACGCTGGCGACCCTTCAGCTTGAACACCTGTGTGTGCCGCAAATCTTTGAAGATAGTCGAATAAGCCCATGTAAGCAAGCTCTCGTACTCCTGGAACGTGGCTCACTTTCAAGTTGCCACTTGTGCTGTCTTTCTTTACCTCACACATTAAACATGGCACATAGTCAAGTAAGACGACAGGTCCCTTCTCACTTGTCCATCGGCCCTTGGACGCAAACACAGGCCCTCCACCACCGGCCAAGGCAAACGCAGCATCTGAGCTCCCGCCTCCAGCACTTCCGGCACTTGCGGCGGCATATCATTGCTGACCGACTTGGCCAAAGCCTCCGATGCCATGCCCGGAGCCCCCGCAATTGAACTTATCAAACAGATTTGGGACTTTGATACCCAATTTGAAAAATTGGGCAAATGATTTGGCTTGACGCAGGGACGCTACTTGACATCCCGCTCTCTGTCTCTTCTCTCTCGCTCTCTCTCTCTCTCTCGCTTTCTCTCTTTTCTCTCTCCCTCTCTCTCTCCCCCTCCCCTCTTGACTTTGAGGCATGGCACCGTTGAACAATTCCTGAACATGTGCTTACTGCGCATCTCAGGATATGATGGATCGCAAACGTCTGCACCCGGGTTTGCCAGCGCAAAAGGCTACACTTGACTTAGTGCCTTGCATCAACATGGGAAATCCTTTACTAGGTATAATATGGCAGTGGTGCCGATGTGGGAATGCCAATTGAATGAACCAAGGTCAGTCCCTGTTCATCGCAACTTTGGGTGCATCTTAGGGGGCACATTTGCTTCCACGCCGTGCTTTTGGCTTTCCAGGACTCACTGAGCCAAAACTGCAAATATATGTTCACATACAAGTCCTACCGAACCTTTTCCTTTTCCGTCTACAGAAACCTAGCATCCGCCAGTTCAAAGCCATCCGTTCTTTAGCCCAAACCAAAAAGGAGGTTCCCGGGTCACGTAACCACCTCGTCTCTCTTCCGGCCTGGCTTCGGACTCGCCGGGTTCGAAGACTTCCTGGCTGACAGGGCTCCGGACCCAACAGCAAGCTGCTCCAAGTCTCCACAATGAAGAATGGAGCGAAGCTCGTATTTCAAAAGGAAACCACAAAGAGCCAACCAATTCTGTGGGCCTGCCTGTCTTTGAGGAAAAAAACAACTACGGCTCCCTTCGAAGACATGGCCAACGGGTACCCTTTCTGGTTTCATTTGGGTGACACATAGAAGGACTCCAATGGTTCTCGCTTGGTTCTCATCATTCACCGGCGCCACTCATTTGTCCAAACAAACACCTATGGCTACCTGGTTCCAAGTATATTTCCAGCATAACCAAAAAAATAAACAGCACCTTAGGCAGAAACTCCCTTCTCATTGGCAACCATGCTGGTGTCTAAAGCAAGCAGCGGCGGAATTTCAGGATCCTTGTGACAAGCGACTCCTGTGGAAGGGAGAGGAGGTTGGGGTTAAGGTCTGTTGCCAGTTTTTCCGGCAGGTGGAACATTAAACTGTATGACTCTGTATGACTGCAAGTCCACTGGTCACCTGCTGGCTTTCCCGATGTCCATCTTGGTAATCCGTCGAAGGGAACTTGTGGGCAAAATGTGTTGGTGCTTGTTGCAGGCTCACCCAGGCCCCAACCCCAGAGGTTCATGAAGCTGTGTAAAACCTGGTCATGGAACCGATCAGGGGCTTCCTGGAAAAGGGGGGCTGGGGAAGGCTCTGGGCACACCTGCAAAAATCAGCCCGCAAGAATCGACCTGGCTCAGAGAAGCAAAGAAAAACCATGCATGTTCTGGAACCCTTCGTTCCCTACGTGCGGCCTCCTGCTGCGACGACACACACCTGGGCTCATGCACAGCCCGCACATCAACAAGTCATCCACGTACTGAACTCATGCAGGAATGGAAGCAACCTCTGCAAAACCCTGCAAGGTCGGAAACTCCTTGTGTTCTGATGTTGCTTCAGGGTCAATTCCGGAGGGGTCCGACAAACAGGTGCTGACTGAAGACATGATGCAAGGTCCAAAGAGGGCCAACCGCCAAAATTAAACTCAGTGACAAATAAATCGGCAACATCGTATTCCGCAGAAGCTGTGTGGCACTTACAAAGCGAAATGAGCCAGTCTGGGCCGTTCTCATTTACAGAGACACCGCCCATTTGTTGGCCAGACCTTTAGACCCCTTGCAAGCAAAAAGTGTAACGGTTCGTTCGAAGAAAAGTACAAGCAAGCAAACATGGCAACACTGCAGAAAAGATGCGCATATTGCACATGATTGCACATACACATGGATACATAGACGTGTCTTGTATGTGCGCATCAAAAATGCCAAACCGACAGTGGCTCTGGGGCTGCTCGGAGCTCGGATCGATGCGTCGGCTCTTTCGCCGTGGGGCGGCCACGAAGCCAGCGGAGCTCCAGCTGGAGCTTCGGGGCTCTGACGCGCGGGGGGGAGAGGCCACCTGTGCAAAGCGCCAGGGGGAGCTGGAAGCTTCGGTTGAGGTTGGGTTTGGGGATTGGGGGGTTGGTCTCTTTGGGGGTGTTGTCTCATTACTTTGTTTGGAGTAGCCCGAACCTTTGCTTTGGTGCTTGTCCCGAAGGGAAGACAAGGGAGACCAACCATTTAGTTGGAGAACCAAACCCCAAAATGGCTTGGTTCCAAGAAGGCCCAAAAGCGACTGTCTCTTCCCTTTGTTTTACGGGGGCCAAAGGGAAACCAATAATTGATTTTGGGTTTGGGGCTTTGCTCTGGCAAAGCCGGATGGCTCAAGTAAGTGGCTCTTTGGCTTGCTTGAAGCCAATGGCTGGGTTGAGCTTTGGAGGGTGGAGGGTTGCATTGACAAGGGTACTGGGCCGTTTTCTAAATAAGGTGCGTGGGGTGGATGGAGGTGGGGCCAGGTTGTGGTGAAGTGCGGTTCGCCGTGCCCCCCACCTTGGGTGAACCCACCACGCCAGGCGTAGCAATGAAAGCGGTCGCTGCCTCAAAAGCCAAGGCGGTGATTGAAACGAACCCAAGCAGTGAGCCATTGAGTTCTACTTATTTGGGAACGCGAAAGATGTGGAAAGAGTGGCATACCATGCACAACAAAGCTTTGACTTCAGCTGTGGGAAACCAAGTGCCTTCACAATCCTTCAAACTCCAGCCATGCATCTGCACCTTCCAGCAAAGTGACACAATGCATGCAACGCCAGGCAAAGGCAAACATCCCAACACACCAACAAGACATGCCAGCTACAAATGCAAAAGCCCCATATACCCAGGCCCAAGACGATGCACAGCCACCCTCAGCCATGCATCCGGCCAGCCACACACACACACACACACACGCATCATATCATGCACACGCCATGGCCCGGACCTCACTGCTGCAATCAGACACCCCCCTCCAAAACAACTCTTAGGTTCTTCAAACCTTCCTGGGGTAGAGGTCTTTTGGGGGCCCTAAGCTCTCTCCTTTGCACGAACTGCTGCCAAGAAGCCGCAAAGGCCAAGATCACGGCAGAAGCCAGCGCGCGACGCCTGAAAGCCATGACCTCGGACAAAACAAGCGCCAAACATCAGGCCCCACATGGCCCCAAGACATGTGGCCGACACGGGCTGAAACAAACGGTAGATGGCGTTTACCCTTTGCACATCGCCGGCCCCACTCAAAGGAAACTAACCGAATGTTTGATTGACCCAACCGTTGACGTTTCAAATCGCCAAGCAGGGGAATATTGGGAATCATGACAACAACCGATTCACACCCGTCATGCTTCACCAAAGGGTACTGAAAGCCATTTGTGCAACGGTTGCCTTCGCAAAGCTTCGCAACAAAACAACAGCAGCTTTGCGGAGTAGTTTCCTCTGTGTCAAACCACGGGGCCTTCGCCCTTCGCAAGAGGCTTCACGAGCCTTTGCGGCACACAATGTGTAACAAAAGTGCCTGTGCGGACCTTTACGAGTTGCCCCTGAAGCCCCCTAAGCTAAAATCCAGCACCTAAAACAACACGCTGCTCATTTGGGGACAGGCCATTCACCGTGTTGGCTGCTGCACTGATGAGTTTGAGCGTTTGGAAGAACTTGATTGTGTCAAAATTGATAACATTTCAACTAGGTCCAACATGTTCAGCGGTAAGCCGTGGCGCTTACGATACCCTTTGGAAGCGCGATGCCAGCCCACCACACCAATGAAGCTGTCACCTGATGCCAAGAGGCTGGAGAGTCGCCACTGCCGAACACCTGCCTCACCAAGTGTTTTTGAGCCAAGAAGCTGCGCGTTCAGGGGCTTCCAAAACCTTTTGAGCCGCTATGTGGAGCAAAGGAAACTGCGCCGCGACACTGTCAGCTATGCTGCGAGGCCGCCCTCAATCCTCGTTGGCGCTGACAGCCCGTTGCCATGATATTGAGGAAAAACCCTCACTCACAGCACTCTGTCCAGTCCGGCCCTCCAAACGGCTGAAACAACTGCAAAGCTCTCATGCCTATGCTCTCATTAGATGGGAGCTTCTTGTGGCTTTCCTGCCAGGTGGACGGGTACAACACGGTGCCTGTGGAAGGTCTCGCAGAGCTTGAATCAGCAAGGTCACCTAGCAAGTTCTCGCAAGGTCACCTTCTCCCACATCATGGGACCCCACAATAGCTTTGGGTTCGTTTCAAGCCACTCCCAAATATACCCTCAGCATAAGCAAGCTTTTTCGCATTGAGTCCAGTAGCCGTTTTCTTCCTGGCATAATGGCCACAATCTGCTTCCTCTAGGCCGCTCGTTGAGACATGTACCGTACCCATTTAACTTAATAGCCAGTCATGAGCCGAACATTCACACGCCATTGTGGTGTTGGCTCGGGTGCCGGTGCCCGGAGATGAGCAACAGCGAAAATCCAAAATCTTGGCGACTTGATTGATACGTAGTGCATCCACCTGCCACTCTATGATCTGCGCCATGCCCAAGAGCACGACCGCCAACATGCCGCCCGGCTCTTTCGGTCAAACTTCCACAAGCTGGACCCAATATTGAGCCGGATTTCCCCACCCGCTTTCCTCTCTTGCACGCCTACTTTTCTCTGATTTCCCTTTCTCATCGAACCCTCTCTCACTTGAGGACCCTTTGGTGGACATCATTTAGGTGGGGATTCATGTCCACCAACCTTTGAGGTGGCTACCTATTAAAATGCATGGCCAACTTTCTTTTCGGGCAGGGCGGTTTTCACCACCCCGCCCAAACGATCCACGCTGCCCAGGAAGCCACGCTGCTCCCGTCTCTTTGTCGCCCTCTTGCACGCGAGCTGCCAGAAAGGCCTGGCGAGAAATCAACTCATGCGCGAACATGATTGCTCCAAGCTCAAACAAACACCATTCTCCAAATCCTGGGCAGGAAACTAAACATATAAAACTTGTCGGATCCTCGTGCCAGTAGTCTTCCCAGGATTGATTCCCAAGGATTTGGATAAGTATGCCTCCGGGATGAGGCCTTCAAAGGTGATCAAGTGAAACACTTGGCAACAGACTGGGGATCTGTCTGGCATCCAGCCCCTATGAAAGGAAGGCAGTCCGCAGTCTACACTGCTAGTTGTAAGAAATAATATACTAAACAGCTACTGCTATGATTCCCTCCACGGCTTGCACAAATCCCGCTTTGCACAGCATCCAACAACAAATTTCTGCAAAACAAGTGAGATCCCCTATAAAGCTCTTGCTTATCGACCCTTAATTGCAGGTGGTAACAGGCAACGAAAGAAAACATAGAGTAAACCCATGCCCCATGTTCCGAATCCATATAGGCCTGCTGGGTCGCTTTGCAAGGGCCCTCTGTAAGGACAGCGACAGCGCGACCTCAGGCGACCAAACTGAACCCCCCAACATCCTCTCTCCCTCAGAAGCACACCAAGCTACCATTTGCGGGAGGATTCATGTTGTGAAGAATGCAGTTGCAGGTTTGCATAATCTAGATGGCACATGCATCAGCAACAGCTGAAGGAAGATCATTTCCAGCGTCAGCGTGGATGCCGGCCAACTGGGCACAGCCGTGCACAAACAAGTGTAGAAAAAACATCAAGCCAAAAGGACTGAGAAAGTCGGACCTACCTTTATTTCTCCAGCAGAACTTACCCTCAATTTGATGATTGATGGCCCCTGAAAACCTTGTATCAACCTGATGTTGGGGTCAGATTTCTATGTTCAAGCCTGTTTCCGTCGACCAGAGGCAAAGTTAGGCCTGCTAAGAAGTCATTTACCCGCACTCGGCATGTACCTCCAGACTACTACACTCCCTGTCAAGCCAAAGCAGCATCAAAAAAACAAAAACCTGGCCGCACAAAAAGAAAACAACTAATGCATCGCAACGCAAGTCCAAAGCTGCCAAGTGGGAAACGGCAGGCGTCTGGGGCCCTGACAGATGCTGCCCTGCACTGGGCCGTCCCCACGGAAAGTAAGCCTCGAGCCATCCAAGCGGCACCAGGCCAAGTTGCGTGGCATGTCAAACAAGCAGGAGCACACATGGCTGAATTCTTTGACACTCCACCTGCCAGGCGCGTTGACTGGGCTCCTTTGGCTGCTCAGCATTGGCTTCGCCAGTTTGCTAGCACGTGGTGCAGTTGTCGCATGCAAATGATTGGTCTTGGGCTTGAGCCCGGTCAGACCTGTCGGGATTGGACAATTGCACGTGATTGATGCTCCTGGCCAAGCTAAGCACTAACCACTGAGGGCAGGACAGCGCTCGCAACATGGACATGATGCCACCCTGCAGGCACGTGCTGCTATCTGATACATGCTTTTCTCATCAGCATGGTGCCGGGATCTTTGACTCAAAGAAGGCGGGTTTTGCCAGCAAAGAAGATGACAGACAAGTGCCACAAAGAAACAAGAGGTTCATCGACACATGGAGGTTCTGCACGTTCTCCCCGTTTCATCTGTATGCTTCACAAACATTCATTTCTAAAGCCTGAAGTAAGGAATCCCCAAGTCATTAAAGGACCTTCATCAAGGTAAGCTCTTCTTTGCCCCCAGGCGAGCTCGCCACAAAATATTGGCTGATTCATGAACGGTTCTACAACGCCTACAGGATCCGAATGATTCTGATCTTTCTGCCCTGCCTGGGCGCGAGCTGCCCGCTGGCTTGGCTCGTGCAAGTATGCCAGGTGCGCCACCTGAAGTGTTGAAGAGAGGCGCCTGTCTGTACTGCCGCTATGGGCAGAATTCGCATAGCACCAAATGGAAGCTCAACGAAAACTGGGACAAGCCAAACACAGATCTGATCTTGTGCATCCACAGTATTGCTACGCTGTCTTTATGCAGGGCCCTCCTTGACACCACTTTGCCATTGAACCTTGGGCACAAGAAGTAACCCAAGGAACATAATTCCCCTCTGCCACTCAGGTTCCGAGTACCTCTGTGAAGAGGCACAAACACAACTGCATTTACTCCGTCTCCGTTTGGCATCCTCAAGGAACAAGGTTGCCAAACATGATTTTGACATCTGTTCACATTGTTTGACTCTTGATCAATGGGTTTCTTTTTGGAGGTGACGGCTTTTCTGGGGGTGTTGCAAAGGGAAGCCAAAGGAAATCACGAATTTTGAGGGCACAGCCACTTTGAGACAAACTCCAATGGACCTAAAATAAATGGCACTATTTTGGAAAGACACCTCCTGGTTTTGAGCTCTAAATGCAAAGAGAGACAAGTATCACAGATTCAAAACCGTCAAAGGGCTAAACCCTCCCCCACCCCCCCCAAGATCGGCACTGCGATGCAGGTGTTGGCCACAACCTGAGGTCTGAATGGTTCATGCTGTGGCTTTGAGGCCTGACATGCCAAAGCAACTTTGGGTAAGGGAAGCCTTGTCCAAAAGAGTATTGTGATACTGCCTCCCTCCCGCCAAAGAAATGATTAGGCTCGGCTAACAGCCACATGTTACAGAATGTTTTTTCAGGGCCAATGCAGTTCCAGTCGAGATGAACAAAAACAAGCAGTGCCAAACACGGGAAATGTTTTGTCTTGTCCAAGGCAAAACGTGTTTCCTTCCGGGCGCTGAATCCCGCAAGCCACAGTGCAAGCCTTGCCTTGTCTGCGCTTCATACGCACAACATGGCAAAGACGGCTGTTGAACAAAAGAGAACTGCCAAAGAGAATTCGCCCTACAATAAATGCACCCATTAGACAGCATGCCATGGTTTTCCACAAAGCCCTCGTCTATCGCGGCCCCGTTCTCATTCGAGACCTCCAATGTTGATTGTAAAAGCGTGCTTTACCACCAATTCCAACTGCAATGTTCAAGTCCACATTGCACAGTTGACTAGCAACTTGATTGAATTTAGATTTGTTCAACGCTTTGATAATACAATTTCCTGCACCTGGCAAAGGAGATGCTCCATTTGCACGAGGGTCGAAACGAAAACCCTAAGGCTCGAAGGGCCCAACTATCAAAATGGTCGTTTCCAAAACCATACTCAGGGCACGAATTCAATCAGATGGAATGGATTCAATCAAGCATTTCCATCAAACCAAAGTTGGACTGCAAACAGTCCGTCTCTCAATCTCGAATCACTCCTGTTGAAAAGCGCAACAGCCAATGGGTGCATGAATCCGAGCTCTCAGCGTGCGGTGACTGCATGCACCTGCGTGGGGACTTGAAATCGTGCAGTGCTTTCCCACCCCGACCCCCACCCCCCACAAACGTTCCTTTGTTCGCAGGGGAAAAATATGGGCAAGGGTTCCTCTGCTGGTGGGGCATGTCCCCTCATGAGTTGGGTGCGGGGGCGCTGCGCAGCCCTTCCGCCCAGTCCAAGCTGTCGCGGGCCTATGCAAAAGATCCTATCGCTCCTATCGAACAAATCATTACACCAAGCCAAACCCAGCCAATTCCGAAAGATTGGACGCTTTAGGTCTGCACGACTGACCACAGCAGGGAAGCGGCCTTGTTAAACATGACTGTGAGTCCGAATCAGCAAGCGGCTGTCCACGTCTCTGTACATATCCACGTGCCTTGCCTGGTTCCAGCAAGGCATGAGATTTCCAAGTCAGGCCGCTCATGATCCGGGGCGCTGTCCAAATATAGTACACATGGCATGTCAAAACGATTCGCTGCAACAAAGCCCTTCTCCTATTTCTTGTGGAAATCCATGCCCAGCTCTCACTCGCTGTCAGAGCTTTCTGCTTTCTCCTCGCTCCTTGGTGAAAGGCGGCCAGGAAAGCTATCACCACGCACACACGCCTGCTGCAAGAAAAGCGATTGGGATGTGCAGTCTGTCATTGTCTGTCCAACGCACTGGTTTTTCACGCGAGCCCCATGCTGTGCCTTTGAACGATGCGCAACGCAGTGCTTCCATTTCCTTGATGCATGTGTGCCTGTGTGATCCTGTGCGCGCAAGGCATTGTTACGAGCGCGGTGGCATGCCGTGTGAGCCTCTTTGGTGTGGTGAATGGCATCTGCGGGTTGATCAACTGGCCACATTCCTGGAACATCCCGAACATCCCAGGCTATGCCACCCTTCCTGTCTTCGAATCTCGAAGGGCAACAACTGAGAACGAGCTGCTAACAACATGTAACATCTCACAAACGGATCAAGCTGCTCCATCGCCAGTCGCAAGTTCTCTGGTGCTGGGATCAGCCAGGGATCGCGGCCTTGGCAGTCTCTGGGGTGGATATCTGGGCATCATGCATGAGACATGGTTCCACACCAGGTCTCCTTGGTGCCTTTTCGCGGCTTCTGAGGGAAACGTTGGAAACTGGAATCTCCGTAGCCCGAATCTAAATCTGTTTGCCCCCAGGGAATGCAAAAGGGCAACAGGATGCGGGTCATCTTCAGCACAGTGAGTGGTCACTATCTTCACTGTCCCGAGCTGCGACGTGGCTATGAGCCGTTTAAGGGCGCACCCTCGACACTGGCTCGTGGACACAGATACCTATCCATCTATATATTCACATATACATATACATATATATACATATATATATATATATTCAAATATGCACATTCTCCGGTCCAAAAGGTCCCTGATTGAAACTCTACACCCATGTTCTCTGAAAACTGCCTTTGCAAAGGCAAGCAGGACACTGAGTGCTGCACTCAGCTGCTCGGTGACAAAGTGGTTGAACCAAGACCTAAGAGACTGCTCAAACCCTACCTGTGGCCGCATCTACTGAATTCAAATCATCGGGCCTCACTTGCGGGTTTGGATTGCCAGTTTACCATGTTCATCGTGCTGTGCTCTATGTCTATCTAAAAAAGATGGCACATCATCAGCCAACGGCCCAAAACACGCAGTGCAGTAAGGGAAAGCCGACGAAATGTCGGGGTGCCTTGGCTGTGAAGTGGGGCGTCTGCGCATCTTCCTCCTTTCCCCAATCAATGACCAAGGCAAAGTGCTCATGCGAGAAAGAACAAGCTGTCACGCGGCACAGCCAGTGAATGGTCGGTCCCACTGCTCCAGGACAAGGCGTTCAGCTTGAAACAAGCCCCGCTTGTTGAGCCAGTGGCGGTTGCCCTCCCTTTCAAAAAGAGGAACCAACCCACAACTGCCAATATGAAGAACGAAGGCTGGGCAACTGAGAACCGCACGTCCGAAATGGATACAAACAAATCACAGCCAAGAGTCGACAGTGACTCTTGAAGCTCCTTGACGCGTGCCTGGGCAGCTCAATCGAACCAAGCGGTGTTGCCCCCACCCAAAGAAGCTAAGACTTACCTCGACATGAACACCTGGCAGCCTAAACAAACGCGCGATTCCCACAACAAGGCCGCGCTGCAAATCACAACCAACACAGCCAAACCCAACAAATGTGACATGCTGGCATACATTTGGTTGTTGGCAGCTCCTGCGTAAAATGAACCGTACACAACCATACCAGATACTACAACTAAAGGATACTAAAGGCACATGCGAACAACAGCCAAGAACCTCCTCCCACGAACTCCGCATACTCCCAAACCGTGTAAGCCATACAAAGTTGTCGCGTTGCCGAAAGAACTGGCAATGGACGGTGTCCCAGAAATTGGGACCACCAACTCCAGGTTGGAACAAAAAGGGGTTCTAAGCTCTGCAAACTCCTCGTGGCATTGGGGCAAAGGGACCTCACCTTGCAATGGAAATCCAGAAAGCAAAGGAGACGAGACCTCAGTGGCCAACGTTATTCTGGTTGGGCCACGCATTGATAGGCTTACCGTTTCTGTGCGGGTTATAGCGGCTACACGTATGCATATGTGTTTATGGGGCGAGGGAGCGACCGATTTCACCTATGATGGCTTCTTTTGTGAGACAAGCCATATGTTCAATGGTGAAGTCGGCGTGATTCATCTGCAATTCAGGATCACCCTTTAAGGGAACTCATGCCACTGAGGTAAACTCTGTTGACCTTACCCTCTCAGTTGCCCTCTAACCCTGGAAGAAGAAGGATCAGGACCATTTTGTTTTGAGGTTGGAACCCTTTTAACCGAGTTTGAAGGGAGAAATCCACTGACCGAATTCCTTATCGGACTTGCTTAAAAAAAACGGAATCAATGGGAGACTACTCATTTTGAGACATAAGGGTCAAAATCAGAAAACACACATGACCTTGTGATCATGACTGACTTGAAATACCCCACAACATTCCACAAGCCCGGTTCTAGTTGCTTATGTAGGAGCCTCCAAGTTGGCCACAGGTGGTAGACACCATATTGGTGGCCGAACAGGGCGAGAGAGGCCCTCAGCTCCACCGCTCCGCCGAAAAACCAATCCCAGTCGGCCGCCTGAAGGCTCACCGCCGCCTGCGCCTCTGAGGAGCTGGAGGCGGAGGCGTCCCGGGCTTCCTCGGGTTAGAGCGGCCCGACGCCAGGCCCCCAAAGGTTGGACAACTCCCAGAAGAAAAAGACATGGACCACAAGCCTTGTGACAGCCTTGTGAGGGCAATACCTGAAGCTGAGACGGGAGAACATGGTTTTAGGGCAAATCAAGCCCGAACAAAGCCACATGAGATCAAATCAGAATTTCACAACCCTTGAGGGAAGCTTCAGGTTTTGGCTCAGGCAACTTGAATCTGGGTTCAAACATGCTGCACATGAAGATACATGAAGCATACCTTCAACAGAACAAGCCAAATGCCCTCCAGCCCAACCTGGAGTAGCATAGGGAACCATGCAGCTTCAGCGTCTGATAGCTCCGCTAGACTCGTGGTGAGGCACCTGCTTGGAACAGCATGGGCTCACGGGCAACCCAAGGCGGGACTTCATGCCATGAGAAGCATGCAGGCCGTTTTTCTGTGCAGAAGGGGATGCAAAAGCTAATGGCGAGTCGCTTCAATGACGCAGCTAGCAACACTAGAAGACTAAAACAAGTTCCATCTAAACAACGACAACACTCAAAGGGTTGGGTTACAGGACGTTCTACAGGAAAGCAGCTTATGTACGGTGTTTTGGGGCCATTTCCTGTAGATGTTCAAACCCTTTGAAAACCTCTTGGGAACCCAAAGTCGAGCAGCCCACGGGTGCTGTGTGCGTGAAAACGACGGCGAGGCCTCTGAAACTCCTCCAGCACCGTCTCCTTGGCCTTCGTTTGGAAGTCAGGTCCTTCAGCGGTACACCCGGGCTGTGGGGAAGCGAAGGGGAGCAAACCAAAAAGAGTGCGGGCGGCCCTGGAGGCCCCAGTTTTTGATGTGTTTTAAGTGTTTTTGTGTTTTTTTTCAACTCTTGAGAAAGCAGCATCGCGCGCCTTTGACATCGCTCTGAACATTGAAGCATTGAATTACGCAGTCTGACTCCGAGAACTCCTCAATGCAACAAGACTAACATGAGTTAAATGTCAAGGGTACATTGAGCAACAAGAATTGAAGCAGGAATCACAGTTGTTAGCCATGCATGGCTGAGATTGTTTGAGCGTGGCCGGCATGCGGTAACCCAGAGATGAGAAACACGAGAAGATTAACAATCCTGTGCGATATCATGTACACCAAGAAACAAGCATGCTTCCTGGCCACACGTTCAAGGTGAGAGAATCCATTTGCTACTTCCATTCGGTACGAATGAACTGCCATTGCAATGGAACCAACAAAACCGGGATCTACCCTCTTTGCTCTCACGTGATCTCTTGCGGAACATGTACATGCGGACGTATATGTTTCACTTTCGGGAAGGTCGTTTAACCAGCTTAGACGCCATTGACGCAAACGCGGGTAAAATAAGCTGTTGTATCACTTTCTAAACCTACAGTATACATATGATGTCCCCAAACAAGACTTCCAAGAAGAGAAATAGATGACATGGCAAAGATCATTGATTGCTTAGCAAAGATTATTAACTGTAAAATAGTAGAAATTAGAAATGATCCCAAATGCAGGAATTATTAAGATGTAAACTTCTGTATGTCCAAAAAACCAAAAGAAATGTTGATAGAATATAGGATCTCCTCCAAATATTGGATCAAAGAAAAGTGTATTAGAATGAAGATCACCCAACATTAAAAGAAGTGTACCAGATAAGATAGGTAATGTTAATGAAAGCATGAAAGCTTCAATCAAGAAAGAGAAGGGAAATAATGGGATAGTCTTTAATATAAGATAATAGGATCTCAGATTTAGAGTTCTTGTCCACAAGTTAAGAGATGTAAGACATGAAGGTATACCAGAGATTAATAGTCCCAATATAACATTTCGTGTACTTGAAGGTGATAAAGTCATAAAAGAAGTGGATAATGGTGGATATAATGTCCATCCTGTACCACCTCCAAATTCTGAGATTAAAGAAAGGATTAGGAACATATATGAAAGTAAAAGAGCTATGGTAGAAAAAATGTCGACTCTAGGATATACCACTTCTGGAGATCCTTGAAAGATAGGTACAAAATAATTTCCAAATCCTCCAAACAAGCCAGGCATTACCAAAACGAAAATCATAAGAAAGCCATGCAATGTAATGCTTATATTATAGAAGTTCTGGTTTTCTGGAGATATAATCCTATTTCCTGATGAATATAACTCTGTTCTTATAAGGACTGATATTAATGTACCGGAGATTCCAAAGATGAATCCAGATAATATATAATAGATTCCTAAGCCTTTATGATTACAATTTTTAACTAGTGAATGAAATAATATAGTAAAATAATGAATAGAAATAATATAAGTCTAGATTTTAATGGATTTCTGTTCACCTCTTTCTTCATTCTCTCGTCTATCATTTTAAACTGTAGAATCCTTAACATCAGAAAGAGACAGGAATTATAAAGGTGAGACGGGATAATGATAGCTGATGTACGACCAAAAGGATCCTGTTCACCAACTTTTCATTATCCTTATCTTCTAATTAACTTTCTTTATTGTAATTCTTATAATCCTAATATTTTAGAAGTCAATGAAAAGACAATGCAAGATAAGATAGACAACTTTATGAATCTAGAATTACTTTCTTCTCTTTCATCTTTTCGTTTATAATATCATCCTTGTAATCTAAGATCTTGGAAGTTACATCACCTAGGATAAATATTTAACCAGAATGAATCCTAACCCTTCTTTAAGAGCTTTTGGTGTACATATTTCTCCAATCTATTATTTACTTGTTACTTTAGGATCCACTTATAGCTCTATTATTTGCATCTTATTTTCGTAATTTATAGATTTATATGATTCTATGTATCTTTACACAACCTCTTATAGAAGCGCGGCGTCAAAGCCTCAGGGTTGTGCAGTGTTGCTAGAGGACCGTGGAGGAAGCCAGTCATGTCACTACGGGGTTTCCTTTTGAGACTCTTGAAACCCTGCACAGAAGCAAGACGAGCTAGTTGGGGGGGGGCAAGGGGGGGGGGGGGTCTGGTGATGGGCGGGGGGGTCGGCAAAAAAAACAGAGTTTCGTTTTTTTTTCCTTTTTTTAATCGACCCCCCCCCTCCTCGTGTTGACAAGCTCCAGACAGAATTACAGAAGATGCAGGAATCTGCAAAGCAAGTGTTTGATCGAAGATCTTCGTAAGAACCCTTCATGGAAATGAATGCAAACCAATCAACACAGATTCACACCACAAAATAGCTCCATCTCAAAAACAGCAAAAACAGGGGCCCTCATAGCAGCCCTTTCTGACCAAAAAGGGGGGCGTTGGGCCATCTACTTTCACCCAACTGCGAGGTGAAGTCAACTTCGAAGCTCAATGTTGAGGTAAAAGCAATCTATCGCAAAATGTTGGCAGGCAGAACGCCAGTCCCATCACGAAAACAAATGCAATTGTCGACTTGTGGCATCCGAGGGTTGCAAGTAGTGACAATCAAACACGATATCCAGCTTTCGTCAAACCTCCTGAGGCTTCTGCCAAACTACTGGCCTTAATCGCAGTTTTCTGTAGCTATATAATCATTGCAAGCCAGCAGCGTCAAATGCTCACATTGGTTGACAGCTTTTGCTCAGAGTGCCGATTCTCTGCACCAACAGCTACCGGTAACAGCTCGAATGCAAGCACCCACGTGAAGCAAGCCTGAAGTCCCTCCCAAAGCAGTCGCATTCTCCGAAACGCTTGAGCTGCTCACTTTTTTAGCCGGCAGCAGGAGCAAGTCACACATCGGCTGGTTCAAGAAGCCTGCCGCTCCTATTATTGCGTGCTATTGTGCCACTCCTGACTTATTTGCTTGCAAAGGTTGCTTGGTATGAGCCTAGCCTGGCTCCAGACATCCCAAGAGCTCTCTTTACGTCACCCACTAAACACATCACCCCACAAGGAAGCCCACTTTAAATGGGAATGGCCATTCAAGAATGCGCTGTTCGACACCACCCTTCAAGGATAAATAGTTGCTTCTTTCTCAAAATCCTTCCTGACAAAATGGTTGCTCTTCCTTTGCAATTTGCCAGGGAACATCTTCAAAGCCAGGTCCATGGGTGAAAAACCTTTGCAAAATCGGCCTTTGATCATTCTAAGGTTGCTACTGTGGATGGACAAAATGCCGCACCAGTTGGGATGGGACAAACCACCTACCAACCAGCGCCTGGCATGGAGTTTGCTCATAGATAGCAAAGCAGGGTTCCTTATCCCAAAACCAGCTGCAGAAGCTAGGGGGTCCTTAGAATGTTGTATTTGAGTTTAGCTTTGACTGGCCCAAGCTGCTATTCTTTAAGATACCCAGGAACACACCTGTATGATCACATAACAGAAAACATGCCGGGTTTCGTTCACCGTTTAACCATGTTGGCCCTCCCTTCCAGGTTCCAGGTTGAGCTTTGTAGAGGAGCACCCCGGCCATCCCAATCCAAGCGTCGGCTCAGGATCTCCAGAACCATCTCCACCGCGCGGCGCTGGGCCTCCTCGTAGCTCCAAGACCCCAGCCGCGACTGCGAGTCCTTTGCGTCGTTCCGAGGACTCCCGAAGCACCTCTTGGGGCGAATTAAAAAGACCTTTGGTAGAGTGATGATTGAAGAGAAATAGATCAAGGGAAACTCAACGCGTCTGGAACATGGGGCACGCTTGCACACGCGCTGTGAGCTGTGCCTCTGACAATCCTGCACTCCTTCCGCAATTCACAGCTCCGTGGCACTTTCGACAAACCAATGGTCCTCCAGGAAGTAAGCCGCCGCCAGGGCCATGCACAGGCCCGGCAGGCCCAAGGACAGGCTGGCACCTAGGAGCTCGGCCGCGGCGCTGGCCTAAGCCGCGTGGGCTTTCTGATCAACCTTTTGGGACATGGAAATACAAGTTCGTCGACTCATCACTTGTTGCAACCTTCAAACAGACCCCTGGAAAGGCTCAAATGGTGATGCGTCTAAACCTAAGAAACTGTGAGAAACTGAAGTTCCCAAGCCCAAACAGGTTGTTGTACAGTCTCGTACCCATAATTTAAACCGAGACCATGCCTGAAGAAGGAACTGTCCCTGACTTGGGGGAACGCTCACCCCCTTCACGCAGTACTTGTGGGGCTTGGGAAGCAAATCCAAAGCCACCAGGAACACAAGTAAGCACATCTGAAGTCCGAAACCGAGGTGGGCCGGATCGTTCGTGGGAGAAAAAGCCAAGGAACACATCCAAGGAAGCCCATAAACGAAAGGTTGACCTTTGGGAACCTTGAGTAAACATAGTCCAAATGAACAAACTACACAGATTTGAAATGTTGAAGGTGGATGTTGGACCAGCGAAACAGTGACTCACTGAATGCCAGTCCCCCGTCCTCGGATTTGCCCACCGCAAGCACGAGGGATCGGTAGGTTGGATTGGGTGTGTGAGTTGGGTTTGGTTGCCTGGGGTGGTGTAGTACTTTTAGTGGCGATCAGCCTGCCAAAGCCCTCCAAGAGCACAGCTGCAAAAGCTGGTTGCTTGTCAAGCTACGTACGATTTGGTAGGAACTATCAGCATGAAACACCAGAAGTCCCTAGAATGAGAGCTGCCTAATATTTTCATCTGCACACCACCCCGAACAAAGCACACTGCAAATGGGCACAAAAGGCATGCGTAAAACCACCAAAACAACAGCAGAACAACAGTGCAGACAAAACACTTGAAACATATGAAACCAAACACATGGACACCAAAAGCTGAGCATTGTTCTGGCACCCCAACCAGGTTCCAACAATCAGGTTCCGATCACTTGCTCCAAAGGACAATCATGTATGGCAAAGGAGCCCATTTTTTCATAATCAGGTTCTGATCATTTACGTATGGGAAAGGAGCCGTTTTTATTGTTTTTTGTTGTTCTTCTTTGTTTTTTCGAACCCACTGGCTGACGCACGTCGCTCTCCGCTCCAAGGCGCCGTGCCGCCCAACAAGTAGCCCGTCGCCCCGGCGCGCAGCGCCCGCAGCGGCGAGGCGGCCAAGCGCCGGACCCCGCTCGCCTGCCAGGCCTTGCGCATTTGCAACTCCGACGGGTGTTCGAGTTTTCTTGGCCCGCACGATGCGGGGTGCTCCCATCTTTTTTTGGATTCTGAGTCATAAAATGGTCTGCTCTAAAAAATTAACACACATGGAGGAGACCCCAGTTTTGCTAAGCTGGACTTAGAGTCTTTGTTGGGGGGGTCACTTCGGGGAAGCCGGTGATTCTGAGGGTGTCACTTTAATGGACCCACTTGAATCTGGGGAAAATGTGGGCACTACCCCGCACTCCCATGCACTACCCTTGAACGGCACAGCTGCAAGGCAGATTCATTTTCCTTCAGCCCACTTGCCGCTGAAGTTGCTTGGTTTGGTCTGGCCTTTTGCAGCTCGAGCAGCAAAAGCCGCAAAGTGGACTGACAAGCAGGTGGGGAGGACAGCTTCTCGCCCTTCCAAATTCATCCGCCTGCGAGACAGGCTTTACAAGCAGAGCGGCAAAGCAGCTCTGGCTCGTATGTCGCAAAAGGACACACTCTGCGAACCACCGCGGATCCTACTTTTCCGTGGATGCGCTCTCCGAGGCCTCGGAGCAGCTCCCTCTTCGCAGTGTCACTCCGTCTGAGTGCATCCGGCTGAATGCGCGGCGACCCAGCCCCAATGTCGCCAAATGCATTTGCGAGTTCCGTGGGCGTCACCTTCTGAAGCGAATGCGCCTGGGCGAGCCGCATGCACGCCCGATGTTTGCAGTGGTACCCGTTTCAGGCTGGCAAGGCAAACCAAAAGAACCCCACCGGTTTGCCCCTCCCTTCCCGGTTTTGACACGTACCCATTTACGCTCGAGCATTGAAATTGACCGTCAAGGCATGCCTACCCTTTGTCGTGTTGATGTGCGCTTCCTGCAGGACAACTTGCAATTCTGTGCCATGATCACGGATGTTATAAATGCTCGTGGACAGGCAAAATCCCAAGTAAGGCACACTCCAAACTGAACTCCCGACATCTCCTGACACGGTGGCACCTCTGAAAATAGTCGCAGCCTGCCTTAACATGTGAAGACTATGTGCATTGGGGCCAAAGAGTTTGATAATTGATAGATGGAAGCTGGGTTCTCGAAATCGGGGCACCCCAAAACTGGCGGGTTTACTTCTTCTTTCGCTTCAAACCCATCCAAAAAGGGATCCTCCTATTTTGAGACAACGACACATGTGTTTAGGCTTCATGCATTTGGCTGAAAATCTAAACACCATCAAACACCTTCAAATCAAGCCAATGGATTTCGTGGCCGAGCCACGGGCCTAGGCTGCATAAGCCCTGCACAGCTCGTGTGGAATCTGAGGAGAGCTGCTCCAGTCCTGAGGAAATGCAAAGCCCAGGCAAGGTGAGGCAACCTTCCTTGGGGATCCCTCACAGGTCACATTGCACAGCATCAAGGGCATGAACTGCCATGGAGTCTGGGCAAAACTACTATCATTCGCAACATCCCATGTTCCCAAGTGCAGGAAAAAAGGAAACCGTCATACATGAAGCAGCAACCCCCCATCGACGAACAAGGACTGGACAACACAAATTCCACATGCACCCCTTTGATCATCGCCTGCCTGGCCTTACAATCTAATGCCGTGGCCTCCGCGCACCCGACCACTAAGAGTGAATGGGAGCTAAACTCTTTAACTGACAACAAAGAGTCTTATTTGTTCCTCCTACAAGGGTCGAGCCAGTAAAAAAGGTGCGAATTGCAATCCCACGCCTCAGGAAAGACCCTGGACCGCGTCCAGTGCTCGCTGCAGGATGCGGCTTTCCACGATGCGCAACCTCCGCAGGCCCAACAGCATGTGCGATGCCTTGGCCAAAGCCGGGAAGGAACATGCGACGACAGGTGGGTTCGCCTCAACTTAAGAAGATGGACCCCACAACGGATAAAGTACCCTTCTGAGTCAATTTTGAGTTGTCTTCAATAGCACAGCAAGTTCTGCGAAACAAAGGCGTGCCCAAAAAGGTCATGATGGCTCATGATGCTCTTCTTGATGACTTTGGTCTGCTCCACATTTAATCTTCCCATACCCGTAAAGCAACACGAAGGGAACAGCCACGGAGCATTGGCTGCAACTGCTTCATCATAAGCGCACTCCTGCAAGTTGATGGAGACATAATGATGCAACGTGTTGACCGGACTGCTTGCACAATGTGGCCAGCTTGAAACCACCTAAATTTCCCAAAGACACCGTCAAACACATGATTCATGCTCCTCACATCACTTGACTGCCTCGACTGCAAGCAAAGGATAAGCCAACCATATGCCAAACATGGACGAAGCTTGTTCAACATATGTGTGTATGCGCGCGCATGTGCTCGTAGCAATTGTGTGTGTGTGTGTGAGTGCGTGCGTGCGCGATCGCGTGAGCGCGTGTGTGTGTGTGTGTGTTGTGTGCGCGGGCGCGGGCGCGCATGCATGCCTGCCTGCCTGCCTGCCTGCCTGCCTGCCTGCCTGCCTGCCTGCCTGCCTGCCTGCCTGCCTGCCTGCCTGCCTGCCTGCCTGCCTGCCTGCCTGCCTGCCTGCCTGCCTGCCTGCCTGCCTGCCTGCCTGCCTGCCTGCCCGCCCGCCCGCCCGCCCGCCCGCCCGCCCGCCCGCCTGCGTGCGTGCGTGCGTGCGCGTGCGCGTGCGTGCGCGCGCGCGTGCGCGCGTGTGTGGGTGGGTGGGTGGGTGGGTGTGTGTGTGTGTGTCTGTGTCTGTGTCTGTGTCTGTGTCTGTGTCTGTGTCTGTGTGTGTGTGTGTCTGTGTCTGTCTGTGTCTGTCTGTGTCTGTCTGTGTGTGTCTGTGTCTTGTGTGTCTGTGTCTGTGTCTGTGTCTGTGTCTGTGTCTGTGTCTGTGTCTGTGTGTGTTTGTGTGTGTGTGTGTTTGTGTTTGTGTGTGCGCTTGCTGGTGCTTGTGTGTGCTTGCGTGCGTGCCAGCATGCCCGCACAAGTACGTGGGTGCATGTGTGTGTGTGCGGCCACGTGTTTTTGTTTGCTTGCTTTCTTGCTTGTGGAGTGTTTGCGCGCGCGTGGAGCAGTAATATGTGTGCGTGTGTGCGTGCATGAATGCATGTATGCATGCACGCTTGTGTGTTTGAGTATACATGTAAGGTACGGTACTGCAAAGTAAGGTTATGTAATGTAGTGCAGGCAACATACGGCAATACAAAGTAATTTAATGTGCTGCAGTGTGCAACAACCATGTTGCGCGACGTGGGCCTTCAAGCTGAGCCATCCAGAGAGCTTGGCTTTCCACACGTATTCAAGTAATGCGATGTATGTAATGTAATGGACATATATATATATGATATGAATGCATGCAGTCATGCAGTCATGCATGCATGCATGTATGCATGTTTTTTTTTGGTGTGTGTGTGTGTGTCGTGCATGCGGCGCCTCAGCATGGCGTACATATGTACGCATATGCATATATGTATGCTTTCGCGCGTGTGTGTTCGATTTATGTCTTTACGTGAATACGTGCTCGCATGTGTGTGTGTGTGTGCAGGTGTGTGTAGGTGTGTAGGTGTGTAGGTGTGTAGGTGTGTAGGTGTGTAGGTGTGTAGGTGTGTATGAGTGTGTGTGTGTGTGTGTGTGCGTGTGCGTGCGCGCGTGCTGCGCGTGCGAGCGTGCGTGCGTGCCTGCTTGCGTGCGTGGGTGGGTGGGTGGGTGGGTGTGTGTGTGTCTGTTTGTGTGTTTTCGCGTGCGCGGGCATGCGTGTGTCTTTCTCAATCTTTTTCTCTCTCTCTCTCTCTCTCTCGCTATTTGCATGTTTGGCGCACGTGTGCCTGCGCACATGTATGTCTGTGCGCGGGCATACATGCATGCACATGAAAGGAATGTCCGTGCGTGTGTGCGTTTGTTTGCATGCGAAGCCCTGATTTCAGATGCTCATGCCAAGCTGGCTTGCCCCCAGCTTCCTCTTCCTCCAAAGGCCCAAAAGCCCGAGACCGCAGCAGCAGCACAGCTTTGCAAAGACGCACGGCTGAGTTGCTCCAAGTACCTGCATCTCATTGCCGTCCAGTTGTGAAGTGTAGGCTTCCAATATTCCCTTGGAAGCATCACCCCAAAAGGAACCTTCCGCATATATCTGGTCCAAAACACAGTTCAAGCAGGGCTGCCTCGCACCTGGTGCCGTTTTCGCCTTTCACCCCTGCCTCCAAGAAGCCGGGCTGAGGTTCGATCACCTTGGCTTCCCGCCCAAGCCTGGCACGGCTTGGATGCAAAGCTCAAGGATCTAGGGCCAGGGCACGACTGGGGTACCACAAAAAAATCAAAGGTTGAAGGTCACAGCTAGAACTTCGTGTGAACATCGATCGTGGGGGACTCACCAAACAAAAAGAAAACAATACCTGGTGTCGTCATCTCTTCAACCACCAAACGAAAGGAACTCCATCTGGGCTTGGGCGGGGTCATCAAAAGGAAAGTAGTCTTCCAGAAGCCCCCCGTCAGCTTCTTGTGAATGAAGCCCGCCCATCCTCCTAGCTGGAAAGCCGTAGCAGGTTTTAAGAAGGGGGTCTAATCGAAGGGTTCTGAGAACCTTGAGGGAGGTAGGGGGTACTCAAATGACGGGGCTCTTTTCAGGGAAAGTGATTCAAATGCCGGGATTCCACCAGAATTGACGGTGCAAAGGAACGTCAGAACATTGCTGTACACCTGAGTGGTAGGGACAACCAATTGCTTAAAGGTTCACATTGACTCTTCACGGCTGAGGCAAAGCAGAACGCCCTTGTGAGACTCTAGCAAACTCGTTGGATTGCCATGTGACATTACACACACATATATATATATATATAGAGAGGTGGGGCAAGCATCGATAAGCTACAAGTCAAAACTGCGACGCCTGCTCCGTCATGACGGCGTGGGAGCAGCAGGACAGCAGCTTTCGAAGGCCTTTGACACCGCCCAGCGCCTGCTTCCGACGGGTCAGGGAGAGCTCGATTCCCAGGTCCTGGATGTCAAGGATCGTTAGGCTCTGTCATTCGAGGCTTCCCCTTTTGTCGAAATAAAGGCCGCCCCT